CTGACAGATCTTTCAAGGACAGTGACTCCTGCCTAACCCGCTGACTTCAGGTGTAACCTGGGAGTCTTCTGAAGGTCCCCGTGCCTGTGGGAAGGTGGCACCGTTATGTCTGTTTTCCAGATGAGGAAGCTGAGGCCCAGAGCGGGGGAGCGACCTGCCCAAGGTCACCCAGCGAGATTCAAGCCCCGGTTCGTGTATCTCGGGCTCAAATCTTCTCTCCGTTTTAGTGCACACAAGAAAAATAATGCCTTCGGTGCAGGGGCTGTTTTGAGGGTAGGATAAGAAAGGTGGCAGCCTGAGGGCTCCTTCTTTGGCTTCCCGGCAGTTTGGCTCCCGAGCCTGCAGGAGTGGCTTGATCAAGGCGCTCTGCCAGCTGTGCCGGCCTGCCCTGAGGGAGGAGGGGCGGCGCCAGATGGACTCTTGGCAGTGAGGGCAGGATCGTGATCCGCCAGCTGCTGAGAAGTGTCAGGTGGACGCCCCGATGCATGGGCACAGAGCATGATATCATGTGTGATGGCTCATGAGATGCTGTGTTAATGGCGGTCACGTGGACACGGCACGCAGTCCGTAGAAGGAACAGGACGCACACACACACACACACACAGATCTGGGTGAGATGCAGGAGGGGTGGAGACCGTCAGCAGAGCTTCGACACATCCCTTGGAGGACCACAGGGATCGTTCTCCCACATCCGAGACGGGGCCACAATCACAGCGCTGAGGCAGAATCCTTGCCTCCACCCCAAAAGGCCAGAACAGCAAGATTCCGAGCAGGCTCGTGTCCCCTTCCCCCGACTCTCGAGGAACCCAGGCTGGCTAGGCCGTCAAGTGCCATCAGGCTCACTGGTGGAAGCTTCCAGGTTCAGGGCTGGGACGCGGGCAGCAGCCCTGAGTCTGACAGCCGAGGCCCACGGCAGCCATCGTGCCAGACTCGCTTCCCTCCACACGCCCTCTGGGCCTCAATTTCCTCATCTACAGAATGGGGATCACGAGACAGCTTCCCACAGGAGGCGGTGGTGAGGGGTTTTCTATTTTATGGGGAAACCGAGGCACGGAGCAGGCTAAGGGACCTGCACACTGGACACAAACCGGACAGGCTTCCAGGAACCTCTTTCTAAAGCAATGAGACTACTCTAACACCTGTTTGGGGTTCTCAGCCTTGTCTATGAGAAGATGGCACAGGGCAGATAAATTGAGGTAAAGGACCAGGGAGAAAGGGAAGCAGAGGACTCTGGGGTTGGGCACTCAGGCTAAGACCCCCACGTCTGCCAACGTTGACATCCATGTAGTAACAAGGGAAGGCCATAAGCAAAGTCCTTACAGGGACTTTCTCAGGCAAGAGGCCAGAACCCTGCAGCCAGGAGGAGGATTCTGAAACGTTTCCGGGGAGGAAAGCAGCAGCCTGGGGGCTCCTTGTCTGGCTTTTTGGCGGATTAGCCCCGGGCATGCAGGAGCGGCTTGATCAAGGTGCTTGGCCAGTTGCACCAGGCCTGCAGCCCGGCCTTGAAAGAGAGATGGCGGCACCCGATGGAGTGTCTGCGGCAAGGTAGGGAGGGTGTGGCAGGGGCCCGAGGGTCCGCCTCTCCCACCCCTATGGCCACCATAGACAGGTGCTCCTGTGACGGTCAGCTCTTCCAAAACCCTGCGAGAGTTGCCGGCCCTTGTCAGGATCCCACTGGCAAAATCTCACATCCCCCAGCTCCTGTGAGATCTGCGAGCCCATCCAGGCTCATAGGATGCCCTTAAATCCCAGTCTGGACCTTTTCCTTGCATAGGGATTAAAAAAACCCACCAAAACCCAAAACAAGAAGCCAAACATTCAAAACAGGGATTTTTCAAGGTCACGGGCTGGCTGGCTTTGTGCCTGAAGCAACTTCGCAGAAGCAGCTGAAAAGATTCGCTACAAACGTGCTGCCAGATTTCTGTGAGTTGGAGGCTCGTTTCGAATGCCCTTGGATAACTTCATATTTAAAATGAAAATTCAAAACAAAAATCAGCTCCCTCCAGCAGATTCTTTTGCAACACAAAGAATCCACTCTGCGGATTGATTTTTGGTGGAAAAAATAATTTTGATTTTGCAGACTGCAGAGACTAATTGTAGCTTCGGGGATCCTAGAAACAGCAATATTGTGAATTACCAGCTCTTTATGGCCAAAGTCCGTCCTATGGTTGAAAGCCCCCGGTCTTTCGGAGGCTACCCCTTCCCCAAACTGTGAGGCCAAACTGGGGG